AAAACGTATATATGTGTAAGACAGTATAGGACAGCAAGAACCTTACTAAAACGTATATATGTGTAAGACTGTATAGGACAGCAAGAACTTTACTAAAATGTGTGTAAGACTGCATAGGACAGCAAGAACTTTGTTTTATATTAAACTTAAGTATTAGCCTTGGCGAACTATCTTCGTCATTTAGTACTTGATTTTGGTGTGGTGTACCTTTTACGAGATTTTTAACGCATTTTCGCCTGTTTGTAGCATATGTCAGCAATTGTATTGTTAGCTAATAATGTTTTAATTCACAAATGTAGCATTTAATGTTATTTTTCTCTTAAAATTGAATCGTTTTATAACCGAATTACTTAGAAATGACAATTTGTCTCCAAAAGATCCTGTAGGCTATGAGTTTGTTTGTTATCTAACCCAAAGCTGTACAGTGAGCTATCTGCATTGTGTTCATCGCAGGAAGTAGGTCCCGAATTTTAGTGTTATAAGCCTACGAGCTTATCACTGAGCCGTAAAGGGACTTGTAGAGCTTTCTTTGCCCCGGGGAAGGATTGGTATGTGCTCCTCCTCCCTCTCTCAATCAATTTCTCTGCCCTGTCTTCTCCAGGGCCTCCTTCAGGGCAATGGAAACCAGAAAAATTCCCCGACTTCCCCGACCTCTCGATGAGTTCAAGTATAGACTATGCAAAGTTTGACGAATTCATTCGAGCCCTGCTTTAATCTCTTTTGTTCCCAAGTTGTCGAAGTAGAATAAGCGAGTGTCGTGATTTTGGCCTTTAAAAATAAATTTATTCGTTTAGATAAACTAAACTATTCATTTATGTGAATCTAAATCAAATTATAATTTTAGTAAATATGTTATTTTATAATATTCGGCAGACGAACTCTTCCCGTCTCACACAACTGCTTTAAGTATGCAAATTTAGTAATATTAGGAACTCGTGTTTCATTTTTTACTATATTTGAAAAATATAATGAAGAATATCATGCTAAGTGTTATCTCGCCGTGTATGAATCGTTTATTGCAGTTTTTCTATGTTGGGAAGTGGACTATATTTTTGCGAAGTGAAATTTGCCACATTCTTTTGTTGGTGCTTGTAATTTGTTTCTTCGGTGATTTGACCTACAAGTATCAATTACAGCTTATAGATAGGCATGGCTGTAAAAAAACGTTTTTCTTTATCTTTAATAGCATATTGAACGCTATCTGGCGATGCCTAGTCGGCTCAAAAGGGATGTGACAGCCCCTGAGTGCCTCTGTCCGCCAGGTAAGAAAGTTTTATTTTGTTTTGATAACGCTGTGAGTGATGTTGAAGCTCAAAAATAAGCATATGTAAACTAAAGTAAGGTAAGTAATAAAGACATATGTGAACTAAAGTGAAGTAAGACATGTAAAGTGAAGTAAGACGTATGTAAACTAAAGTGAAGTAAGACATAAAGCAATGGTCCTATTGGGGATTCGTTCAATTGTAAATTGTGATGTGTTTTCAATTTAACATTCAACTTAGTGTTTGTCGTGTACGTATGTATATACTTTAGGTTATTTATAATAGCAATTCTACAATGTTTACAGACGATTATATATCTTGAAGCTATCAACTACAGTGTATTTTTTACGCTTACTAAAGAAATTTATGTTAGGAGTTTAAAATACCTACGCCTTAAAAATATTTTCATAAGTCTAAATTCGTCTTGCCGGAATTGTAGCTTTCCTTATCTCCGTTTGAGGGTAAGAACCTGTATCTCCATGTTAAAAAACAATAATGAACAAGCAAAACACGTTGCCGGCAATAAAACTATGTAAAAAAACAATTGAAGTATGACTTGTTGGGAAGTAATGTTTATAGTCAGTAATATTATCCGGTGTAGTTAAGACATTAGTGTGTTAGTTTTAAACATTTTTGTATAAGTTTAAACTAAAAAAAGCTCAAACTGACTCTATAATTTAAAGTAAGTTCGGGCTGTAAGTAGCACGTTTCTAGTTCATATATATGTTTTGGAAAATCGTTCAAGAAAATTTGCCAAAGCTAAATGACTGATTAATTTTTTTTAAGTAGTTAAGACTAGAAGGAAGTATTTTCTAAAATGAGATTTATTTAAAATCACATGAAGACAGAGTCTATGTGATCACCCCCACAGGGTGATCACATAGACTCTGTCTTCACCACAGGGTGATCACATAGACTCTGTCTTCAGTTCAGAACAGGTTTGTCTCGCAGCATTTCACAGACTCGTATAAAACCGAATTCTAATCACCTTGCTAAGTTGATGGCAGAACTGAGCATTCAGTATGTTTATGTCTTGCTAAAATAAGGGATTAACCTGACAACTAACCCCTCTCAAGGCAAAAACGAAAATATAACCGTCAGATGCGTAGCTGAGTTATTGCTAGTAGAACCTTTTTAGATTTTTTGAGACAAGACTCGAGGTCCTGGAAAGAATGCCAAGAAAGGTTTTAATACGTGCTCATGAGCATGACTTTCATGACCTATAGACCAAAGCGTGCTATCAAAAAGCGTGTAAGTTTGAAGCTGTGGATCCAAGGGTGGCAGACTAGCTCGTGCGTTGTGAGTTCGGCTAAATTAGTCAGTTTGAAAGCGACAGAACCTGATACTGCTTTACCAGTTTTCACGGCAGGTTATTTTTTAACACGAGATTTTTCAGCAAGGTTATGCACCATTTTATGTTATTTTGTGATCAATCAATGAACAAAAAGAATGTACAAGATACTTTAAGTGACCAGTAAACACGATTCATTAGGAAAGCTGTGTTAATTTGTTTGACTCGAACCACTTGACAACAGATATTTGATTTCTTTCACTATATTGTTATTCGGTTATAACATAAACAGCATATACATGTTTAAAGTCTAATCACTTATTTTACCTCATGAGAAATTAATTATTTCTATTATTACTTATTATGCTTCCATTAATATTCTACTGTCTTGAGCGTGATGGTAGGAGAATAATTAGGCTAAAGAAATCAATTAAAGACAAAACACTAAACCCTATAACTCGATCGCAGTATAAAGTGGATCTTTCTTCATCAGGTTCATACTGTCTTAAACTATATTTTCAAGAATAGTCTCGTAGGGTAGGGTAGTGTATTACTCTATTATTTATTGCCTTCTTTTTCTTTCCTTAGTTAGTAGAACGTTGAAATTCATACAGCTGTGTATAGCTTAGGTATAGTTTTGTTTTCATGTTATCATCACTTGTTTAATCTCGTTACAACTTTGCTTTTTATTAAAGCGGTACTCACTAAATATATGATACAGAGTGAAACGCCGAAAATGTAAATCAGGCGTTTAACCTTTGTTTATTTGCTATTCATATGTTTTCACTTTTAGAATTTATTTGTATGTATGCATTGTGTATTTTTGCAATGTAATGTCATTTTCAAAATTTAAATTTAATAGTTAAAAAAGGTGGTCTGATGCGAATATTAATTGCTAGTATCAGGTGAAAAATGAAATCATGTTGTAATTACAATCTCAGATGAGGCTTATCGTTTTTAAGGTATTATATATAATTTAAAGCTTATATTATAAAGGGATTATTTTAACATTGAATAGCTAGACTTATAAGTAGTTATACACAAATGCAGTTTCAAGCGCACAATGATTAAGATTTTGAAATCAAAAGTAAACAATTATAAGAAAATATACTGTTAACGAGATGCTTGAAACGATGTCCAGTAATAAGTAATGCCTGTGGTAATAATACTACTGGAAATAATGCATAGTAATGATGCAAGGGTGGAGAAAATGTTATATATAAATCATGGATAAAGACAAGTTGATTTTTGGGACTGTAAATTTAATAATTGATCCCCCTCTCACTTTTCGATACCCACATTCACCTGAAGAGTAGAAATAGCCTGATAAAGACATTAAGATTATATACAAGTTTTTTTTCAGTCAGTGTTTATTTTTGATCAAGTGATACGAGGTACATAGAGTTGTGTAGCCTAAGTAGTTTACAATTGAAACAAAGTTTCATATACTGCCTGTATATATGTATAATTTTCGTTGTTTTAGGACCTACGATGACTCGCAAATTGTCTATCTATTTATGACTTTCTAAATGTTAAAATTCTATAGCTTTGACATTATATAGGCGTTGGCGATAAAATGGTTGTAACCCATCCATTAAAGACAATCTGATGTGGAAGAGCAGTTAGATTATTGATCTGACATCAGGTAGATAGTAGTTGTAAATTTATTACTGATCTGACATCAGGAAGATGGTAGTTGTAAATTTATTACTGATCTGATATCGGGTAGATGGTGGCTGTAAATTTGCAGCAGCAATACGAAGTAGGGGGAAAATGATAGAAATAAAAGAGGATTTCCAACTTCTGCAGTTTCACAATTTTGATATATTCATTTTATTTTTACGATAAACGACACATTTTATATGAAGAGAGAAACATGATTTTTGTTTTATATTAAATTAGAGAACCTAATTCCTTGTAGAATGAAAACCACCTGAGGTCGGTGGGAAAAATCCAAAGCCTTTCCATGTTGTTTGGTGAGGCAATATATTATTATTGTCCAACTTTTATGTCGCTTGACACGAATACACCAGAACCGGTTTTTAATGGTATTAGAATAGAATAAGTCTGTTGGCCCTTTGTTTCGGCTTTATTTTTTGTGCTTAAACGTGTATGTAAGAATGGACACTGATAAGCGAGGCTATACTTAAGAATACAAAGATCAGATTCGATTGGTGAAGTGATCATTTCTGCCTTTACATCATCCAAACAATCCATTTGATCTCACCTATATTTCATACCTTAAAACAAGAATGGAGTAGGAGCATGTTTGTGTATATATTACAACCACCCTTCTCATAAAGAGACGCCATCTTCACCGACTTCTCACACCAATTGTTTTTTAAGAGCTCCGCACCGTGAGACAGTGCTCGGCCCTGTCTGGCTTTACTTAATACAACAAAGAGTTTTTAACAAGAGTCAAGTAGCAATGAATGCTGAACAATGATCTAACTGCTGGCCGTAAACGTATGGTAATGGTTCGCGTGGTGTTTTGTTTTTGTTTTTTTTACTTTAGAGACTCGTTCAGAATCAAAGAGATACTTTTTACCTTTTTTATCTTTTGTTTTTGGGTGTGTACATTTTACAATATAGAGTCTCAGTGCATTGTGTCACAGACGACAGTGCTATCGAGTCTAAGACAATAGAAGCATTTGAAATTACCAAGTCTGTTTTATTAAACTCCTCTACGTTTCGAACACTTTACAATTTATCATACACGGAAAATAAGATATACTATCAAGAAGAAACATTTTGGAGTGTTCAAAAACCTTCAAAACAGTACTTTATTAAAAATTAGATACCATACTGTAGATGAATAAGAAAGTTACATCAAATTAAAATAAATAAACTGTGTATATTCGTTCCACTACAGTGACTAAACACCCGACAGCAGCGAGTAAACTTAATTTGTTATACACTTTCAGCTCTATTAATTATGCCCCGCCGTCTAACGGTAAGTCTGAGGGCTGATACCGCTAAAAACCAAGTTTCGATAGTCGTAGTGGGCACAACACAGATTGCCCATTGTCTAGATTTTCGCTTAACAGCAGACAGACTATTAATAAGTGTAATATAACAAACACGTACACACTTATGTGTAAGAAAATCGTCATTTACGTGACTTGTTATTTGTCAATCACTGCTAATGTTACACGTCACATGTTCTTGTAATGTTCCAAAGATGTATAATTACTTTTGTTATAGAGTTCCTGGTGGCCAGTTCTCCAGTTCTGTACACTTTGCTACATTGGAATTATGAAAACGAATAGTAAGGTATATTTAATTTCACGGCGCTAAAAACTAATCATTTTCTACTTAATGACTTGCAACACTATTGTTGGCATGCTTTTACTTGTGTTTTCTTTTAATATAAAACAAAACGTGCAAACATATTTAGATGGCTTCATTGTGGCGTACCAGTCTACTTAGCGTACTTGACTAACACTATTGTTGACAT